AATTAGTTATTTACGCACCCAGTGTGTGAGCCAGAAGGGCGTGCTCATGGGTCTGCCCATTCCTGGAGATAACCTGCTTCAAATTCACCAACACCAGCAGCAACAATCAGGACAGCAGTCAGCCTGAGATGTGCCTGTAATTGTGTTTTTTGTAAAGTCTCTGTGTTTTAGAGCATCAATAATGGTCAAATAATACTTGCTCGTGTAAAATTTCCCCAGGGAGATATCAGTGGTGATATTTCAGTTCAGTTTCAGTTTATCCAGGCATACTAGAAGGAGCCGTTTCCCATCTCAGCAGCTTCCTTGTCAAGCTTTAGAATTGTACACTTGAACCCTATGTAATTTTACTAACCATTGTCACTTCAATAAATTTTAGTAAAACATTTTTTGTGTGATTTTTTTTCTCAATTCCGCCACATTTATAGATCAGATGGTCAGTAATGGTAGACTTGCCTGAATCTACACGTCCAAGATGACAATGTTGATTTGAGTGTTTTCCTTTCCTATTTTGGGTTAGATGTAGCGGTGTTTTTCATGACTCCTGTGTTCTGGTGGCAAACCTGGTTTGAAGAAGCTCTAATGTCTTCTTCTTCAGTGAGTAGAGTGGCATTTTTTACATCTTCCCAAGCCTCTTACTGTCTGGCTCAATAGAAGGCAGCTGGATTCACATCTTTGCTTCTTAACTCTGTTGCAATATCACACGTCATGTAGCCTCTGGAAAAATTCCACTGTACACTTGTGAGAGAATGAGAATGAACAAGGAAAATAAATCTTAATATTATTGTTAAAATAGTTTTGTTTTCAAAGACCCCCTGAGTCATAGGGTGCCCCGAGCAGTCCCAGAACTGCTGCTGTATGTAAATGTGTGTAGAGTGAAATTTCTCCTCTGCATACCAAGAAGTTGAGGGCTAGAGAGGAGTCTTGGCTTAAAATAAGGTAAACACACAGACCGGATTCCAGAAACAAGTGTCCACCTCAACTTTAAAAACTTTATCAACAAATGAATACAGAAAGCCTCGTAATTACATGAACAGATTAAAGTTATTTGATACAATCTGGTGATCTTTCTTAGTAAAAATTCTAAGTAAATTGAGAACAGGTCGCCGTCAGGGCCCCAGAGAGCGCGGGGCGCCGCCGCCGCCACTCCTCGGCTGGGGTCCGTCTCCAGGATGGTGCTGGGGCCGGCGGCCGCGGCGGCAGAGCGGCAGAAGCCGGGAGCCGCGCTGCGACAACAGCCGCGGGAACCCCCGGGCCTCCTCGCGGGCCGAGCCTGAGCGACCCCCAGCTTCTCGCGCGCCCTCTCCCTTCGCCCTCTTTCCCCCCGCCCCTCGCCGCCCTTAGCGCTTCAGCTCTCCGTTATGGCAACGGAGCCACCATCCCCCCTCCGGCTCGAGGCGCCCGGCCCCCCAGAAATGAGGACCCCCACCGGCGAGCGAGGCCGTCTCTGAGAGCACCCCAAAGCCGGCGGGCAGCAGGCTCCGCCTCCCCCACGGCTGCGTGCCCCGCTCGCATCAGGTGCCCGGGCACATGTACGGGAAGGACAAAGTGGGATTGATATCTCACCTATTTCCAAAAAGGAGTTAAATATGGATGAAAAAGGGGTTCTATGGAAAATATCCTCACAAGGTGATCTGATCATAAATTCCTAACTGGGCAGATCATGGTACATTGCAACATCCCGATGGCACAGTTTTGAAACAGTTGCAGCCGCCTCCAAGGGGTCCAAGAGAGCTAGAATTCTATAATATGGTTTATGCTTCTGATTGTACTGATGGGGTTCTTATAGAGCTACGAAAGTATTTGCCAAAATGTTATGGCATCTGGTCACCTCCCACTGCACCAAATGATTTATACATGAAACTGGAAGATGTGACCCGTAAATTTAATAAGCCCTGTATAATGGATGTAAAGATAGGGTGGAAAAGCTATGATCCTTTTGCTTCATCCTGAGAAGATTCAGCAACAGGTCAGCAAGTACCCATTAATGGAAGAGATTGGGTTCTTGGTGCTTGGCATGAGGGTTTATCATATTCATTCTGATAGCTATGAGACACAAAACCAGCGCTATGGAAGAAGCCTAACAAAAGAAACTCTAAAGGATGGGCTTTCCAGATTTTTTCATAATGGATTCTGCTTAAGAAAAGATGCTGTTGCTGCCAGTATTCATAAGATTGAGAGTGTTCTGCAGTGGTTTGAAACCCAGAAGCAGCTTAACTTTTATGCAAGTTCATTATTGTTTGTTTATGAAGGTTCATCTCAGCCAACTACTACAAAATCGAATGACAGAACTTTGGCAGAAAAATTTTTGTCCAAAGGACAACTCTCAGACACAGATGTACTGGAGTACAATAATAA